AGGGACTGAATGGAGACGTTGTGGGAATTTTGATCATTTTCTCCTAAACCTGGATCCAATTCAGGACCATTTTACCTCCACATGTGTGTGTACTTACAGTATTTTCTTGTCTCCTCAGAGCATTCTTCAGTAAATGCCGCACTAATCTTCTAGGACCGGTGTCCCCTAACGGCGTCACAATCTTGGTCCTGATTGACCTTCTGTCTGAAGTCGAAACCAAAGACAGACGAGTGAGTAACCCCAACGTATTAGCTTTGTTGAACGGCAGTGTATCGGAAAATATCTACTGATGCAAATCAGTCCTGGGACCTTTTAAGATCGAAGGATAGTTCTGTCTAAAACCTCCAGGACTCGGTTGTAAAAATGTTTATTAAATGTCGGCCGCTACCCTGACCAATCACTGTGCGCTCTACTGTAATAATACATCTTATCATACCTTCAGAGCAAGGACCAGTCTGATAACATGCCCTGTAAATCCGGCTCCTTCTTAACTGCTATTATCTTCAGGATATGTTTCCTAAACAGACTTTTCAAACAGGAAACTCCTAGTTGGAGTTCTTGGGTAAACCACACACTCTCCCACCCAGCAGTCCTCAGATATAAACAGTGGCTTTGGCTTTGAAAGGGATTCAAAAGTTGCTCCCCTCATCACAAAGACCAATTGTGTCACTGTGTTGCGAAAGTGATGAAAATCCTCTGTTTGGATTTGGAAACTGAACACGTAATGGCTTCCCTTACTTGGTCAGGACAAATCTACTATTCTCAAGGTCTGGGGGTGCCCAAACCCCGGTGCGGGGACCGGTGCTGGTCCGTAGATCATTTGGTACTGGGTCACAGCGGGACCCAGTGAGAAATGTACTTCAGTTTTGCTAATGTACTTTATTCCAGAACAATCCGGTCATATCCCTTTAGTTTTTTCGTTTAAAGATAATCTGACAATGTTTTAAAACAACAACTCATTCAGACTCTGATGCTAACAGAAAAAAGTGTTACAGTAGTAACGGCTGATACTGGCCGACTGCTCCTTGGTACAAAAAAGGTTAGGGACCGCTTATGTAGATGATCATACTATTACATAGTACTTGCAAATCTAAGAGAAATCTCACGCCGACTGCTCCTTGGTACACAAAAGGTTAGGGACCGCTAATGTAGGTGATCATACTATTACTTAGTACTTGCAAATCTACCAGAAATCTCACAACACCCCCAGAATATTTGCTATATTTGGATATTTGAGTAAAATTTGAGTAAGCTTCGTCCTCTGGGCATTTTCCTCGAAAACTGGATATTCATAGAAGAGAGGAGGAAAAAAACAGATTGATGTATTTTATTATTGTGTCGTGGCGCTTTGGCCCAGAGGCAATGTCTCTGTCATTGGTGTGGAACCCCAGGGTTCACCTCCTGGACAAGTTCGAATCCCGGTTAGGGCGGTTGGTACCTTCCAGTGGACTCACCACCCGCAGGAAGGTTCAGGGGGGGTTGGTACGGTGCAGTGTGATTTGGGTGGCGGGAGCTGCCCCCGCGACCTGCTAACAGATAAGTGGATGAAGATGGATGGATGGATGGATGGATATTACGGTGTCCATTTGCACAACGTTAAACTTGTCTCAGCGCCGAGTTCACACTGAGCTGCCGGCGAACTGTTTGGAAATGCAGCTGCTGGGAAAACAGCGTGCTGTATATGACATCACTATGAGTGAAACTGTGGGAGATACCTAAGTGGATGAAAAGCCTTTACACACACATACACACACACACACACACGTATCAACACCCTCATGGTCTGAACAGTTGAGCAACGTTGCTGACAGGCCTCTGCAGGAGGTTCAGAGCAAAGAAGTTGTGTAACTGTGCGATCCCTTTAAGACAGAAAGATGGTTTGATAGCTTTAACAAAAGCCTGAGGTTTGTTACAGTATGTTGTTAAATGGTTCAGGTTTGAATCCAGATGTGTGCAAATCAGTCCCCCCCCCCCCCAAAAAAAAAAACCCAGATGGTTTCACCAACGAGGACGACAAAAGAAATTGGAAGAGACATTGCATCTACTAAAATCTAGTCCAAGAATATTTGACCTGATATACGTCTCTATCTAAGACCAGTCAGCGTCATGTTTACGTTCTGCAGTGGCTCGTCCAAACAAGAAGACGTCAGCGCCACCACTGGACCACACTGTAAATGATGTGAAGTGCTGTATAAACTCAGCTGGTTTTGTTTTGGTATCTTTGCGTTAGCTTTGAATTGTTCCTTGGCTGCAGCTTTACTTATGTCGGTGTAACACGAGGCGTGTACTTCTTCCATGTTCGTGTCCTGAACTTTTCAGCATTTTCAGAATGAATTTCTGCCATCATTGTGTTAACATACTACTAATATAACATAACTACTCTTTATTTTTTATTGCATTTCAGCCAGACCACTGCTTCCAAATGTCTGCGCTCTACTTCTACTTCTGTGTTAATGATTCAAATCTGCACACCCCCAGAGTGGGTGGGTGGGTGTGGTGAGTGAGTGACCTCCCCTCTGTTCTTCAGCTGGAAGGCATCAGCAGCAGGAGCGACAGTAGTGACTATATAAAGGGAGGCTCAGCACAGCGGCAGTGAACAGCTGCTGGAAACACCTGGAGAACACAGCTGCTGCTGCTGGTGCTGCTGCTGGTGAAGACGGCTGACTGACAGAATGGACGTCCTCGCTCTT